CTACGCAACCCAAGGTCAAACTGATGTGATCAGTAAATACATCTTTTTAAACGCCACAACTTTTATCTGAAACATTTTTTTCTAAAATGCTTAGTTTTCGAGATATTTCACCGGTCCGGGACTTTTTGAACACCCTGTATGTTGTAGAGGTTACTCTCCTCAGTAACTCTCAGAAGATTTTAACCGTCGCTCGTTGTTCGTGAAAAAGTTATTAACAAAATAAGTTGCATAAAATGAGTATAATTTTTGGACACTGTATATACAAAAACGATACTGTGTACCGTTAACGAGCAATATCGAAGAATAACTGCAATATCAAACGACTAGCGGGGGGCTGCGCCCCCCGCATTCCCCCTCAAAGCTAACCTAACCCAACCAACCTTGTTACATTAACACAAAAGTTGAACATTTTAATAAACAATGACTGACGGTTAATGTGACGATAGTTTGGTTTAGGTTAGTTTTAAAGAGGGGTGCGGGGGGCATAGCCTCCTGTTAGTCATTCGATATTGCGGTACTTACTAAAAAAATATTCAAATTAAGAATATTTTTAACATTTGTAACACGAGAAAAATATCGAACGATGAGCGGAGAGCTGCGTCCCCCGCACCCCCCCTTAAAACTAACCTAACCCAACCTATTGTCACATTAACCGTCAATCATTGTTTATTAAAGTGTCCAACTTTTATGTGACGATAGGTTGGGTTAGGTTAGTTTTGAGGGGGGATGCGGGGGACATAGCCCCCCGCTAGTCGTCCAATATTGCAATTATTATTCGATATTGCTCGTTAACAGTACACAGTATCGTTTTTGTATATACAGTGTCCAAAAATTATACTTGTAACCGTGATGCGTCGCGTTCTGGATCGCTCGCCGGTGCGTGTTCATAAGAGGCGGAATAATTTAGAAACATTTGATTTAATAATTAAACTGAGTCATATATTTAAAAACAGCTGATGATGTACATTTAAATTAGATATTGAGTGTTGACGCCGTTGGTTTTCGTCAATTTGTATTCGAACTTTCAGAGGCTTTATTTAGGCGATGGCTCACGAGATGCTGTGCGCGGTGCGCGGGACACGGACGTGTTGTTGTCGCGTATTCGTGAGTTCGTCTGTTGACGTTCTCGGCTTCTCACCTCTTTAATTTCGGTTGACAATTTCTTTCTGCTATTTCGCTACTATTTGATGCAGCACAGTATAGGTGGTATGTCAGTGGTATTGCAGCAGAGCTGCACGCGGGATATCGACTCGGTGACGGTACCTGAAATACGATTCTTCTCCTATCGCGGAGATTCGTTGCGGTTCAATGTATGCGGTGCGGCGGTACGCCTTTGTATGCGGAACTTTAACTGGTAGATCTACCTTCGTAATCTAATGGGGCCGGCTCGTTCTAACAAAATCGCGGATGCGGTGAAGACGGTGTCGCGGACGCGCCTATGCGTCGCGGTAACGGAACGATTTCGATCTCGTTTCCGGAGATCGGTTGGCTAGTATCACGGAGGTCGTCCTGGCGAGTCGACGACAGTCTGTTCCTGACGCGGATCCTTATGACGCGGTGTCGAAGCTGCGCTGCAACGGAGCGAGACTTCGAGTATACGGTGATGAGTTCGCACGCGGCGACTCGATAGCGGTGTGATCTCGCTCGCGCTAAGGCGAAGGCGAAATCCGGTTTGCAGTGTGAAGGTTGCATTAAATGCCCTTCCGATGTGTTGATTCCAGGCCCTTCGGCGGCCGTGGAATCTTCTAAATTACGGTAATTCTCAGTGTCAGCGTTACGAATCCGTGAGCCGACGGCAAAGTGACTTCTGTTCACGAACGGAAGTCTGCTAAGATTGATAGATGATAGAGTATCGACGTCACGTATCCGTGCGTCGATGACGGAGTGATTCCTGTCGCGTATTCGCGAACGGGAATCTACCAGAAACAGTAGTCAGACCAGTGTCGGTATCACGTATTCGTAAACCGACGGCGGAGTGACTCTTGTCGCGTATCCGCGAACGGAAGTCTGCCAGGAGCGGTATTCTGAATAGTGTCGGGGCACGTATTCGTGCGCCGACGGCGGAGTGATTCCTGTCGTGAACGGGAATTCATCAGGAACGGTCAGAATAAAACAATGTCGGTGACACGTATTCGTGCACTGACGGCAGAGTGATTCCTGTCGCGTATCCGCGAGCAGCAATCTGCCAGGAACGGTGTTGGAAACAATGTCGATGTCACGTATCCGTGAGTCGACGGCGGAGTGATTTCTGTTGCGTATTCGGAAGCAGAAGTCCACTAGGAATCGATGCTTGCGAATCTCTGTCAAGAGCGGATGATCGGAATCTCATTCTTTCAAAAGAGCGGCGGATCGGATCTGATCTCGATCTAAGAATTCGTGGCGTTTTATACTTTGCGAATCACGCTTGATTCGCTATGATCCGCAGATGTTCAGCGGTCTCGCTGTTTATTTTCTTGAGAGAACGCGCTGTCCACTCGTGTTTCTTATGCGCGGTCTTATGCGTTTCTTTACATCGATTTCAGTAACGATCGTCTATGTGGATCGTTACATACTCATTTTATGCAAATTCTTTTGTTAATAACTTTTTAACGAACAACGAGCGACGACTAAAACCTTTTGCTTGTCACTCAGGAGGACCTTGACCTCTATAACATATGTCAAGGTCAAGGTTATTGGAACTGTCTCCCCTAAAGTCAATAATTACCCGTAATAGTCCAACGAATTTAAATCTGGACTATTCGGAGTCCAAAACTTTTTGCTCCAAAACATTTTGACGTTGTTCGATAGCCAGTTTTGGACCAAGTGACTCGTGTGAATTGGTAAGCTATCCTGTTGGAAGATGTATGGAAGATTCGGCGCATGGTAGCCTTACTCACGCTCAAAATTGTCGCCAATTTCCTGAGAGATTGCCCTGAGACTTTTGCGATCAGCTGTTGAGCCCTTTGGACAACTTCCAGGGTCCTTGCCAACCTCTCCCTTGAACGGCTCTTCCTCGACGGGTTTGCGGAACCTTCTTTGGACTTCTCCGAAGCCTTATATTTAGCGGAAATTTAGTGAACTCTCGATCTCGGATATTTGAAGAACTCAATTATTTCAGCCGGCGTACGTCCAGCTTTCCGAAGACTTTCAATAATCGCCATTCTTCGGTTATATTCCATGTTCGATCTTGACTGCTCAGTCATTTTGAAGTTATGTGCGTTCAAAACATTGTTTTAGCTTATTTGGACACAAATATCAACTTAGCGCTAAAGTAAAATATGACGGAAAATTCAAATTGAAATTTGTCCGGATTTAGCTGACGTACTCTGTATTTTATGTCGATGTTGCAATAAAAATAAAAAAATTTTCACTCTATTTAATATGTATTTTAATTACAATCGTCTTTTGTATTATTAAGAATAGTTCAAGTAAAATGTAATAATCAAAATGATATTAATTTGATATTCTTTTGGCCGATACTTAACATAAATTTATTCAATATTTGGTCAAAATAACGTCAAATTGATATCATTTTGATTCTTATGTTTTACTTGGAAGACTATAATGTAATAGAGGTTGTACTAAAATTTAAAAAAAATTAAACGTGAAAATCTATTGCGCATCCATAATAGATGTACAATGGACGTTCATGAGGGATATTATATGAATATCCATCATCGATGAATTGTGGACATCTATTAGAGATCCACCTGTCGTCCACTGTAGATAGATGTCTGGTGGAACTATGGATGATCTATGGACGTCTAATAGAGGTTTTGTTCTATGTGGGCAATAACATATCTACAATATCCATCTACTTAGACATGTGGCACCTATAGCACAATGTTATCACGTCGTTTTTCGACGATTAATAGCGATCAAAGCGAGACCAATTTTACTATTATATATGGATGGATTTGATATTAAATGCTCTACAATTGTTGTCTCTCCAAATCTTAAAAGGAAGTGGAGGAGGAAGTAAAAAAGTTGACATTTAAAAAATGAAATACGCCGTTGCAAAGAGTATTAAATACTGTAAAACTTTTGTAAGAAACATTTTTTCATATACATCATATCTTAGGAATTATTCCATAAAAATGAAAAAGTTCATTTTCTTTAAGGGGCTGTTTTAACCCCTAAACCTCGAGATGAGGCGATATAAAAAAATGTGTCTTATTTTTTGTATGCTCTACAACATATCCAAAGCGCATCAAAATAGATGAGGGACAGTTCTGTCATGTCCCTTGTAAGACTAATTAATATTTCCACCTCATAATTAAGTCATTCCTAATCAAAATCCCCCTTTTCTTTATTGCTCGAAATCCAATCCCGAGTAAAGAGATTTGATTCTCTGACTCAAAATCGAACTGCTCACCGTACGTTACTACGCCATGTAAAGCAACTCTTCCAGCCGCTAACCAGCTCATCAACCTTCATGTACGGCGAAGCTTATTATAAGCATTCAATAAATTACGTTTTTCTTCAGGACGTAACACTAGTAAATTTTTCCTATACTTTCTAATACACAATTTATAAGGGTTTAGTTAATTAAAACTGACATACTATTGGTAGAGAGAAAGAAAGAGAAAGAGGATTGGAAGGAAAAAGAGAGAAAAAGAAACTTATATTAATAAATATATTAATAAATATATTCTATATTAATATCTATATATCTATATTAATAAATATATTCAAGAAGAAATTAAACACTTTTTTTCTTTATTTTTTACGGATATAACGAATATATAAAAATGTGTGGTTTCGATGGAACTTACTTATTCAATAAATAAAAAAATAAATAAAAAATATATGAAATATATAAATATATTTTATAATAATATATGTTTAATAATAATATATTTTGTTATACTTACGTCGTTATATAACAGTGCTAATGTATTTCCTGGAATAGAATTCTTTGCACTGATTTGTTTTGAAGATAATTGCCAACCCTTATCAACGGTGTTATTGGTTATGTACAAATAAGCTAATCCATCTCTAATTATAGAAATACTGCTTTCAGGCACTTTCGGTAATTTATAAAGTACATACCTGAAATTATATACAACAATTGTTCGCGATATTATAAATTCTCAATAACAGTGGTAACAGTTGTATGAGAGTACAAGAGAAATATTGAATAATTAAATTGTTTACATTTTAATAATTATGTGACTAATCTACGTATTATGAATCTTATACATTAATTAACATTATATTATTTTAACTTAGACATATTACTTAAAAATAATTGTCTATGAAGTCGATTATCCTCAGGAAATATTAAAAACTGTTTAAAAAATTGTAGAAAAACTATAGAGAAAACTTTGAAGAAATATAGAATTACTCACAGTTAATTTGGGCAGATCAATAGTTTTCTTTTTACAGTAACTATAAAGAACTTTAGTTTTCATACAATATAGCTGAATCAAAAGACTAGTAGGGAGCGGTGCATTTGGACATGGTGCATTTGCGCACAGCCAATCACAGCACCGTGTACTTAGAGATATTTGTAGGGTCCCTTGGAACAGCGACTTGTGATTGGACTGTGTTCAATTGTCCCGTGTCTAACTGATATACACCTCCGTAGTAGGGTAAGCATGGGTTCGGATTTAGTCCATATTAGGGGGATCAAATGTTATCATTATAGAACTAATTATTTACCCTAAGTATCAACTTAAAAAAATTTTTTACAAAAGTTATAAACAAATTTTGAAAAATAAAAAATTAAATTTTTCCAAATTGGATGAACTGATCTTAATAGCTAAAATATATGTTATATAAGTGTATTAAGGTAATTCTAAAAAAATTGAGAATCAATTATGTTAATAAGAAGAGAATAAAAAAATTGTTGTTACTTTTTAAAAATGTTTCTAATAAATTATTTTTTGTACCGCCACCATTTTTTCTGTAATATGTTTACAGTATATATTTTTGGAAAATGATCAAAACTTATAATACTAATACTTATACATAGGCACTTTATAGTTAAAAGAAAACTATTTTATGGTCCCTGAAATGTAAATGTAAACACTTTAGCTAACGCAACTGAAAAGGAATGTTGGTTTCTTAAAAAGTCTATGTTTTACAGTGTCTCATCCAACGACATTTTTTATTTCCAAAAGATGAAGATCTAAAAATTTTATTTACAGGTTCTTAACAATTCTTACAAGCAGCGTCGTATTTGGCCAAAATAATGAATGATAATGGGTCTATTAACTTGCATTTTATGAAAGATCAGACAAATATTCTAAAAATTCAGGTTTAGTCAAGACATATTGGTCGAAAATTATATAGATAGTTTCATCATTATAATCCAAACAGTGTAGGCATTGCACGAATTCAAAGATATGCTTATGAATGTTGTTCACATATAGCAGCAATTATTTATTACTTTATTTATCACATGCAAGATATTTGTCCAAAATCCTAAAATCTGCTGAAATTCTTAGTAAATTCTTTACGCATGATAATATAAATCCTATAGTAGATAAAGACAGTGATGACGATTAAGTATATACTGTATACCAGGTATATACCTATAAAATGCGGATTTTTTAAGGAAAAACACATGTTAATTTGAAGTAAATGGTTAAAGCTATTTACTTGAAGTATGCGCCATTCGACGCTACAACTTTTTCCCATCTTTCTGGCAAAAGATGAATTTCGCGACGATAGAAACTTTCATCTTTCAAAGCAAACTGTGGCGTCTCAGAGAACGAGACGCCACGCAAGGTGCATCGCTCCCAGTTAAAGGGACGCTTACGGAGCACACCTTGCGCACGGTCCTTTCCGAGAACCGCGAGGCTCGCGACGCGTTTCCGAGAAACGCGGCGGAGCGAGATAAGCTCGAGCCCGCGAGAATTCGTGGAAACGCGGACCTGCGCGAGTTCGAAGAATCGCGAGCCTCGAGATTTCGGAAGAAGGGCAATAGTAAATACGAGCCCGCGAGAATTCGCGGAAGCGCGGACCTGCGCGAGTTCGAAGAATCGCGAGCCTCGAGATTCGGAAGAGGGGCAACGGCGAATACAAGCCCGCGATGAATTCGTGGAAGCACGGGACCTAATTAAATTCGAGGAATCGCGAGCCTCGCGATTTTCTCAGAAAAGTAAAGCACCGATACTACACACGGTTAAAGGTCTTGGGTATAAATAGCGGGCGAAAACGCCGGAAAGACAGACTCCGCTCTCGACCTCCAGCGAGGAACAATCGATA